GATCGACTTCTTTCTGCGGTGTGAAAATGAGGTACCCCCGCTTTAAAACTAACCAAGCTAAAAGAAACCCTTTGGAACACGACTAGTTTCCATCTGCTTGAATCTTTGGGCAGAGCCTTTGAACTGGAAATTCGCCCAGGAGTGGTAGGAAAGATTTCAAAGGTAGTTACCTGGACTATTTTTTATTGAAATCTTCCTCTGGACTCAAAGAAAATCCGGGGAGTACAGCCCAATCGGCCCCGAGGTAGACCGATGGAAGCGAGGCTCTGACAACCGCCAATCACTCACAGAATACGTTCTTATACAGACAAAGTGGGTGAAGAGTCTCACCCAGGACACAACAACAGTATTCAGAGGCTGGAGCAGGATCTGAACACCTGACCTGTGATCAGTGTTGGGAAGGTGACTTTTCAAATGTATTCCCCTACAGATTACAGATTACATACCCCAAAATGTAGTTTGTAACATAATCCATTAAATTACTTAAAGTGAGTAATGTAATCTGAATACTTTGGATTACTTGATTTGCTGTAGAGAAACAAAGATGAGGATTTTCACCTAAGATGTTTTGTCTGTTAAAAGAAAATAAAAAGCCCAGACTTTACTGAACCAAATTAAAAATATTATTGATAGAAGAGAAGGAGACACGTCCACACAACATGGTTTAGTCCTGTTAAATCCTGTTTGAGACATAGTTTAGACCTGGTTTTAAACCTGGTTTAGACCTGGTTTAGACCGAGTTTTAAACCTGGTTAGACCTGGTTTAGACCTGGTTTAGACCTGGTTTTAGACCTGGATTTAGACCTGGTTTAGACCTGGTTTTAGACCTGGTTTAGACCTGGTTTTAGACCTGGTTTAGACCTGGTTTAGACCTGGTTTAAACCTGGTTTTAGACCTGGTTTAGACCTGGTTTTAGACCTGGTTTAAACCTGGATTTAGACCTGGTTTAGACCTGGTTTAAACCTGGTTTTAGACCTGGTTTAGACCTGGATTTAGACCTGGTTTAGACCTGGGTTTAGACCTGGTTTAGACCTGGTTTTAAACCTGGATTTAGACCTGGTTTAGACCTGGTTTAGACCTGGTTTTAGACCTGGTTTAGACCTGGTTTTAGACCTGGTTTAGACCTGGTTTAGACCTGGTTTAGACCTGGTTTAGACCTGGTTTAGACCTGGTTTAGACCTGGTTTAGACCTGGTTTAGACCTGGTTTAGACCTGGTTTAAGACCTGGTTTAGACCTGGTTTAAGACCTGGTTTTATACCTGGTTTAGACCTGGTTTTAGTCCTGGTTTAGACCTGGTTTTAGACCTGGTTTAGTGTCCGGCAATGCGTAGAATTACCGGGGAAAAAAAATAAATAAAATTGAAAAGGGATATAGCCCAAAATGTGAAAACAGGAAAATACCGTTGTGTAATCCATTTATTTCAACAAAGTAACTGTAATCCAATTACCACTCACTGAAACAGTAACTGTAACTGAATACAGTTACTCATCATTTGTACTCTGATTACGTAACTCCGGTACATGTAATCTGTTACTCCCCAACACTGCCTGTGATAGATACTACTTCAACTACCGGCTACAACCAAAGGCAAATAAAAGCGGCGACAGTATATATATACTAGAGTCCGATTCCTCCAGTGTTGATCCACAGTGAGGATGTTGTAGTAATTGCACGGTACTATTTGCTCCCTGGAGTACAGACATTATAGCTTTAGCAGTTTGTCTCTGTCACAGCTGTCTCATCTACGGGCCCCAGCGCTGACTGCCACCTGCTACCAACAATAGGCAACAATTAGTAGCTCACAATAAAGAGGGTGCGATGGGGAGAGGGACTGGCGCTGTGTATAAAGACATAATGAGATTAGCCAAAACACAACAGCATTCAAAACAATCTAACAAGGGATGAGCTGCTACAGGCCTATTTATGGCTTTCAGCTTTCTGTTATTGGTTCCACTTTGAGGACTTTTCACCAGTCAAATGAGAATATTTAGTCTTGTATTGTTAACTTCGATATAACAATGTCATTTTTCACTGTTCTGATACAGATGGATGGGCCACGATTACAGCTGCTGGGATTTAAAGGTGCACTGTGTCACTTTTCTGGTGCCTGTAATGCTTTTATTCAAATGCTGGTCTTTAAATTGTTGGAAATACCCACATGCATTCTTAGATCCTGTTTACACTGAAACGAATCCGCGCATCACCGTATCACTGTATCGGAAACGAGTCTTCTCTATCCACACAACTTTGAGCACATTTGTTTATGTTTTACAGAAATGAAACTTAAAACCACATGGATAATTTGCACAAACTGAGCGCTCAAAAACGGCTCGCTATTGTGTGCTGATGCGGTTCAGCTTCTGTCGGACTAAAGGACACGACGTGGAATATGAGTGTTCTTTCTGTGACAGAGGTGTTCTGCTGATGGTGAGTCTGTTCTGTGTTTCTGTTGTGTTGGAGATGGTTCATGTGAAACTTTTCTGAGATTATACGTGTGCAGATCGTACATACACACGCACGTTTAGATGAATGGACATATATATTAGCCTCTTAGTGTTTTGACGGTGAATTACTTCATGGTGAACAAACCTACATCAGAGTATCAGTGTTTTCAGGCGTCCACACGGTGCCGGATCAGATCTGTACTCAGATAAATTCATGGGAGCTGGAGGCACCAGATCGTTCCGTCTCTGGAGCCGTTTTCAGTCAGATTAGTGTGAACAAACTCTGCATCCACAACCAAAACCACTCCAATACACACTAGTGTGGACGGGGTCTTAGTGTGAGCGGAGCCACCACAGATCTGACCAGACTATCATCACCTACTTGTCTCCATGGAGATGGATAAGTTGAATAGTGTAATGTGGAAGATTCCAGGCAAAAGAATAACATCTCTTTGGATACAAGAAGGTAGGTAGGGCACATCACCAGAAATGTTACATGGTGCACCTTTAAATGAGTAATTAGTCTAATAGTAGTAGATAATAGTGGTTGATGAATATTTATGTGGCTGTAAAAAATAGCAAATAAAGTGAAACATTTAAAGCCACGTTTTCACATTCACACATGATATAACACTTTAGGAAACTGGGAATAACCCTGAACTAAACTTGGACTAAACCAGGACTAAACCACAACAAGATAAGAGTCAAACCAGGTCTAAACCAGAATTAAACTGGACTCAACAGATTGTAAAACCAGACCAAAACTAATCATGGGTAAACTAGTACTAACCTGATTTAAAGGGAGCGAGGCAAGGTCTATTAATCCAGGATGAACCAAGTCTAAATTGCTCTAAATCAGATTAAAACAGATATAAACTGACACATGTATATATTAAACGTGAATTAAGTGTCTTGTCTGTTTCTAGAGTGAACCAGCAACCTTCAGGGCAAACCAGAGACCTTTGTGCTTGAGTCATGCCATCACTGGAAGCCACTGCGCTGAGACTTTGTACCAGTGTTTCTTTCATGTGGACGGGCTCAGTAATTACAGACTGTTACACAGATACGAATAAATCAGGTCAAACATCTGCATTTTCATCTGGATTTAGTTCGGGATGCACCAATACTAAAACTAGTATCTAATATCTCCGCCGATCCAGGAAAATGAGCTAGATCAGGTATCGGTTCAGCCTTTATTGGATAAGACTGTTTACTGGCAAACGTTGGCCTAGAGCATTTCATTATGTTTGAACTTTTATTCATACAAAGCTGTTCAACAGTTAATTGCTGGATAAATAAAAGTGAAGTGTGTTTGGACAGAAATAAAACAACTAATTCAGTCCCTGCGTTAGTATCATTAAGGTTGGATATAAACAGGTACTACAAACCAAAGAATCGATAAAAAGACGGATTGCACAACTCTAGATTTTCTTTGGCGGATTTAATTCAAACCCCAAACCCAAACTGTACACAGAAACATCGAAACAGCAGGGGACGACAGCTCTATTGACCATCACATGACAAAACACTGCATGGGCTCTTATTGTCAGTGTTGGGAAGGTGACTTTTAAAATGTATTCCCCTACAGATTACAGATTACATACCCCAAAATGTAGTTTGTAACATAATCCATTAAATTACTTAAAGTGAGTAATGTAATCTGAATACTTTGGATTACTTGATTTGCTGCAGAAAAGCAAAGACGAGGATATCGTAACATAAGATGTTTTGTCTGGTAAAAGAAAATAAAAAGTCCAGACTTTCCTGAACCAAATTAAAAATATTATTGATAGAAGAGGAGGAGACACGTCCACACAGCAGGATTTAAATCCTGTTTGAAATATAGTTTAGACCTGGTTTGAGACTTGGTTTAGACCTGGTTTTGTCCTGGTTTAGTCCTGGTTTTGTCTTGGTTTAGTCCTAGTTTAGACATGGTTTTAGACCTGGTTTAGACCTGGTTAAGACCTGGTTTTGACCTGGTTTTAGTCCTGGTTTTGTCTTGGTTTAGTCCTAGTTTAGTGCTAGTTTAGACCTGGTTTGGACCTGGGATTAGACCTGGTTTGGACCTGGGTTTAGACCTGGTTTAGACCTGGTTTAGACCTGGTTTGGACCTGGGATTAGACCTGGTTTAGACCATGTTTAGACCATGTTTAGACCTGGTTTAGACCTGGTTTAGACCTGGTTTTAGACCTGGTTTAGACCTGGTTTAGACCTGGTTTGGACCTGGGATTAGACCTGGTTTAGACCATGTTTAGACCTGGTTTGGACCTGAGATTAGACCTGGTTTAGACCATGTTTAGACCTGGTTTAGACATGGTTTAGTCCTGGTTTACTGTCCGGCAATGAGTGGAATTACCAAAAAAAAAAAAAAACTCCAAAATGTCAAAACAGGAAAATACCGCTGTGTAATCCATTTATTTCAACCAAGTAACTGTAATCTAATTACCACTCACCGAAACAGTAACTGTAACTGAATACAGTTACTCATAATGTGTACTCTGATTACCTAACTCTGGTACATGTAATCTGTTACTCCCCAACACTGCTCACTGTACCTTGGAAGTGGAAGGCTCTGGACTCGCTGTGGAATCCTTGGACTTGGGTAACTCCATCCAAATCTTGTCCCAAAGTCAGCTCGTCAAAAACGCTGATCCGGAGAGCAGGGTCCACCCCAAACCCTACAACTGAAAACACAAATACGGATTTACACTTCACGGTATTTACTGACATGAACACGACATGCTTCAGGTCACCATAAGCTTCTAAACACTGTGTAATGAACTCCAAATGATGATATATTCTGATTTGAACCAATGCAAATACTCCTTAACACCACACTATAAATAAATACTTCAAAATTCAAATGTTTTCTCTGGTGATTTCAAATTGGATGATCAAAAACCCAATGCCTCAACTTTTTCTAGTTACCAATATGTTTAGAAATTCATGTTCTCAAGAGTTGATACATAATAGGACTTAACAAACCCAAACCTCAAGAAATTCCCAAAACCAACTCGATATTTCCAGACACAATGAACAAAAGTACTAGATAAATCCACGAGTATACCACTGCCAGTTACTTGGTGTACACATTTACAAGTATGATAAGGTGCGTTATTATTACGTCCTTTACGCAGGTCTGATTATGCGTGTGGCTCGTTGTTGGACTAAGGTGGTCTGTTACGACAATGTAGTGTAATGCAGCCTATCCACAGATGGGTAGAGCTCGCACAGTATCCTTTTGCGTATCGCTGTCCTACCTGAGGAGGGGCAAAAAACGCCAAGAACCACAAATAGCTGTAATAATCCCATGTTGAAAGCGTATAAATTAGTCCATGTTTTGTCCACTTGAAAGAGACAGTATTTCTGAGTCAAACGCCAAAAAACAATACAACCTCGAGGCGCACGAGAAACGCTAGTAATCCCAATTGCGCAGTGGAGGCATCATGACAACTTTAGATGCCCGATAATGCAGCGACAAAAGGCAAATCCGGATCAGACGAGCGTGAACGCGGCGCTGCCTGTAATGTGGGGATTATTCCGTGCGGGTTTGGTTCTGGAGTGTCCGTCCCTCCGCGCGCTGGGCAGGTGGCAACGGGAACCTGGAGACGCTGCAGCTGCACGCGCGGAACGGGAGGAGCGATAAGACTCAGGGGAGGAGGAGAGGAGGAGGAGAGGAGGAGGAGGAGAGGAGGAGAGAAGGACAGAGGAGAGGAACAACCTGTCGAGGATGGAGAGAGGGAGCGTAACAAGGACGATGAAGCCCTCTAGCGGCTGAACGCGGAATCACAAGGTACCACGCCTTAAAGCGGCTGGAGCTGGAGGTGTCACTCAATGTCAATGATCCCTGCAATTAAAGAGCACACTTTTACATTTCGCTCTGCTCATTTTTCATATTCTCTCAGACAGTGTTGGGGAGTAACAGATTACATGTACTGGAGTTACGTAATCAGAGTACAAATTATGAGTAACTGTATTCAGTTACAGCTACTGTTTCCATGAGTGGTAATTGGATTACAGTTACTTTGTTAAAATAAATGAATTACACAGAGGTATTTTCCTGTTTTCACATTTTGGGCTATTAGTTTTTTTTGTTTGTTTTTGTTTTGTTTGGTAATTCCACTCATTGCCGGACACTAAACCACTTCTAAACCAGATCTTAAACCAGGTCTAAACCCAGGTCCAAACCAGGTCTAAACCAGTTCTAAACCTGGTCTAAACCAGGTCTAAAACCAGGTCTAAACTAGGTCTAAACCAGGTCTAAACCTGGTCTAAAACTAGGTCTAAACCCAGGTCTAAACCAGATCTAAACCAGGACTAAACCAGGACTAAAGCAGGACCAAAACCAGGTCTACACCAGGTCTAAACTAGGTCTAAACTAGGACTAAACCAGGACTAAAACCATTTCTAAACCAGGTCCAAACCAGGTCTAAAACCAGGTCTAAACTAGGTCTAAACCAGGACTAAACCAGGACTAAACCAGGATTTAACAGGACTAAATCATGCTGTGTGGACGTGTCTCCTCCTCTTCTATCAATAATATTTTTAATTTGGTTCAGTAAAGTCTGGGCTTTTTATTTTCTTTTAGCAGACAAAACATCTTATGTTACAATTTCCTCGTCTTTGCTTCTCTACAGCAAATCAAGTAATCCAAAGTATTCAGATTACATTACTCACTTTTAGTAATTTAATGGATTATGTTTCAAACTACATTTTGGGGTATGTAATCTGTAATCTGTAGGGGAATACATTTGAAAAGTCACCTTCCCAACACTGCTCTCAGATAAATTTAGCGGTAAAGTCAACTCGTATTTTATTGTAAGGACTACGGATGTAACAGTAACCGAAATATTGTGATACTGTATCGTCAAAAGTCCCATAACAATGTTGTGGGGTGTCACAATATATTGAATCACAACTTCCTTTGCTTAAATGTATTGTTTTATAGTAGCAAAAGCTTATAAACATAGAAAACTACATATCCCATGATTCATTTCAACACAGACAACATGAAAACATGTTTTTTACTTGAATTCTTGGGATTATGATGGAAATAATTCACACCACATTCTTGTCAAGGTATTTTAAAAGCAAAAGTGTCCTATCTACAAACATATTCTATTAGCCTCTTCAAAATATTGCAATAAATATCGTACTGTGAGATCGTGATAACATCGTACTGAGAGATTTGGGGACCATCACATCCAGTGTTGGGAGTAACAGTAATTCATTACTTTTATAAGTAATGAATTACTGTAATGTGTTGCTTTTTGCTGTAACGCAGTAATTACAGAGAAAAAAATAAATATTTGACTCGGTGGTGGCTTTTTCTTCATACAAATTCGCTAAAATTACCAAATTATCAGCAGCGGTGAAACGCCGGAGACACGCCCACGTAGACCGTCAGGTGACAGCGGACAAAAGGACCTCCATGCTCCACGGGCGAACCACAGCTGACGCCGACCGGGCTTTGCAGACATCCTGTTCCACGTGCTCGGGGTTCTCTAAGGTCCTAGATTCCAAGTTCTAGTTCTGGTTCAGTCCTGGGTTAGACCTGGTTTAGTCCATATACGGTGCAAAAGTTCAGCATCTTCACAGTTATTTTGGTGAGAGTAACTTAAAAGTAATTCAGTAGTAATGTAATGTTTTACATTTTAAATTCAGTAATATTGTAATGTAACAAATGACTTTGAAATGACAGTAATAAGTCATAAATAACACATTATAGTTTCTCAGTAACTTGCCCAGCAGTGGTTACATCCCTAGTAAGGACTATTTCATTTAAAAAGGAGTACTACTCTTTGGTCCCCCAAGATGAAAACACATTGTAATTTTTCTTAGACTTAAACAAACTTTATTGATCCTACAAAGGGAATGATTTAGACACAGAGGCTCACACGTCACAATATAATATAATAACAAAGAGCAAAAATATAAATGCCAAAATAAATTGTAAATAAGTAGCAAAAAGAGCAAGAGACTGGTGTGAAATAAGACATAATTATATACATGTAAATGTACAAGTCAAAATAAAATAGAACGATAAGTCATAAAATAAAAAAAGGAAAATCTCAGCTTTATACAACAGGTCATAGTGCAACAGTGATATGATGACTGACAGGACATAGGGTTGTCTGTTATATAAGGGTGAGTTGTTGTACACTTGTAGGGAGTATTATGTGTCCCTCTATAGTCTGGTGCAGTGGGTGAACAGGAGTGTCCATGATGGAGAGCAGTTTGTACGTGAGCATCAAACCTCCATGTTTGTTTTCCCAGTGGGATGCGTCTATTGACAAAGCTGATCTTTTCAAGTCTATTGAACCATATCACTTTTGTTTCTGGTTCTGATATTGTCATTTTTTAGTTTTGAGATTCAGACATCGTAATTGTGTGGTTGTTTAATGTGCAAATCTAATACAGAAATCTTTTTTAATTGATGAACTCTTTCTTTTAAAAAATATTATAATATTATGAACAACCTGAAACTTTAAGAAAAATGCAACTTCAACACAATGTTTTAACATGAACTTGTATGTAAATAGGAATAAGACAATTTTTCTTGGAAAATCCTGCACTCAGCGTCTACTTTTGATGAGGGCGTCAACAGTCAAAACGATCGTCCATTAAGAGCGTTTAGAAAGAGACAAGTCTTCATTTGTGCTGCTCTGGTGGGAGGGGCCACGTACAGAGACGCTGGAGAAGCTGCTATGATAAGCACTGCACAAAATTACCAATATTTTAATAGAAAATATAATTAAAATATTTTAGTAGAAAATCAGCCGAGGGCCAAATTAAAGGTCTTGGAGGGCCGGATGTTTGACACCACTGATGTAGGCAGTCAAAGTTTCCGTTTTGGTCCTTCCTGTGGATCAGTCCTGCCCATCACCTTTCACCTTTCACTATTTTTCAATTCCGTTGGGAAGAGAAACAGTTTGAACAGAGGTTTACAGTCACACACATCTGATTCCCTTTTGCACTTATGGAGTTTGCAAACTTCCGAAGCCCGTTTTCCGCTGTTAGGATCCAACCACCACACAATTACGATGTCTGAATCCCAAAACTAAAATATGACAATATCAGAACCAGAAACAAAAGTGATATGGTTCAAAAGACTTGAAAAGATCGACTTTGTCAATAGACGCATCCCACTGGGAAATCAAACATGGCAGTTTGACGGTCACTTTTTCAGAGGATCCTTCTCAGTATGCATTGCGTGATGACCTGAAGTCCAAAATTTGTGATGTGGGTTAGGGATGGGCATGATTAATCGATTAATCGATAATTAATTATTAAGAATTTCATCGATTACGTTAATTTTAATCGACAAACCGAATGTATGTTGCTGTGTGTAGTTTGACCAAACAGGTGTGTACATGTGTCTCTGCATCAGAAGGAGCGAGACACAAACAGTGGGTCAGTCTGCAACGTACTGAAGCACAAATGTGTATTTAACGATGATTTGTACAAGAAATTCCAGGCTTTCTGTTCCGTTGGGACAAGTGTGAGTCCATGTGCACAGTGTATAAAGCAGCACATATGTTTCTGTGTCCAGTGGGAAACAGTTTTGCCAGGTGAGAGTCGCGCAATGTGGATGACGAGTCCCCACCTCCCTCCCCCCGTACGGTGTCCTGGTTTTGACAAACGCAAATCTGGTCACACTAACCTGTATTCACCTGAATCATGTCTTTTAATCCAACAGAAATTGACTGCATCAGCGACACAAGAGCTGGAGTTTTATCTTTGCTGAGTTTATGGAAATTAGCGATGTGGTTTTAAGTTTTGTTTCTGTGAGAGTTGAACAAAACTGAATTAAACACATTATAATGTCAAACGGGCTGATGTGGCTCTAGAGTGGTTACAGTTTATATGTCGTAAAGTTGAATTTATTTATGCAGATTAGTAGTGCAGATAGTAACAATAATGACGATCATTTTAATATAAAAATGTTAATGATTAATCGATAATCGATCGTTAATTCTTCCGACGATCGATTAAGAAAATTTCATTGAATCCCCATCCCTAATGCGGGTACTGAAAATGGATAAGGTTACAGCTAAACTGCAGGCAAAGAAATAACATCTCCACGGAAGCACGGACGTGGCCGACCCTGCGCTGGAGAAGTTCCATAGTGCAGCTTTAAGTTTCAAATGCCAGTGCAGATAAATCCAGACACGCTGTGACCTTTGTGCAGTGTGTGTAAATGTAACAGTGTTTGACAGATTCACATGACCTACGACAGCGTTGTCTTTTGTCTTTAATGAACAACACAGATATTTGACTTTTGCTGTTGTGAGACAAAAGAATGGATGTGT